CAGCTAGCCTGTATAGACCGCCGGTGTCGCGACCCCTGTGAAGGCGCCTGCGGTCGAGGCGCACGATGCCAAGTTATCGCACATTCCCCTATATGTACTTGCAATGATGGATACACTGGCGATCCCTTCACTTATTGTTACCCAGAACCATGTAAGTTATTTTTTAGTACTTTGTTTTACTTTAATAGACGGAAGTCTATGTAATTTAACTAAATATTACTTAATTTTAGCTTTACCGTCTGGGCCTAGCGATCCTTGTCAGCCATCGCCATGCGGACCGAATTCGATTTGCGTAAGTTCTGGAGAAATGCCCGCGTGCAGTTGCCAGCCTAGTTTCATTGGGACAGCTCCAAACTGTAGGCCCGAGTGTACCATAAGTGCAGAGTGTCCGGCAGCTCTGGCTTGCGTCGCACAACGATGCAAGGACCCATGCCTTCAGGCATGTGGCCCCCGCGCTATTTGCTCAGTAATTGACCATCGTGCAACCTGTGCCTGCGAGTCTGGCCTAGAAGGAAACCCATTCCAGGGTTGTTCACAGCCTAAAGGTAAGCCATAACATAGCTCTGGTCTTTATTCTCACTTTTAGAGTACAGGTTCAATAACCAGTTGATATAATGTTATTTGGACGATATCATTATTAAAAGACACGAGACATATTATGTATATTGATACGCAAGGTACACTAAAAGTATTATTATAAAGAATATTTAACATTATAAAGAGAAACGAATAAAAATACAGTTCATTGAAAATTTGCATTTAACCCTCCGCTTAGCCAAGCGTGATTTATCATGCTTAAAATACATATGTGCTTATCCCGGAAGAAAAAAAATGAAGTCACGCCTTACACGGTTTACTAATGTCAATAGAATAGTCCTGTATGGGCGTCTTTACTTTAGAGCTGGGCGGTAACCATGCCTACCGCTCGGTGCGTAGGTCTGGACGCTCCTACAGCGTCTGTTCTCATGCCGCTTGGATATTAAACAACGCCTTCGGATCAGGACGGTGAGATGTCATTTTAATCATCTAGAATTTTAAATGCTTTCAGAAGGGATGTAACTTTTAATATAACTATACATATTGTGAAATTAATGCCTTTGCTTATGACCGGAGCACGCGGAGATAACACAGCACTTACAGTTAGCTTGGACCGTTCGCTGTGACGGCCGCTTTGTGATGGTGCGGCTAAAGACGCGACCCCTTCACCGGAATAGAGGATCACTAAACGTCATCGAGCCGAGACAGCTTCAACTAACGCTTCGGACCAAGAAGGTGCTTCTACGGTGATTGATTCCTTTACCGGTAAGTGAATTCATTGTTATGCTAAAATATTTCAGCTCCACCAAAAACTGAATACTTAAATCCATGCGAGCCTTCACCGTGCGGTCCGAATGCTGAGTGCAGAGTACAAGATAAGGCTGGATCGTGCACGTGCATACCGGATTATTTTGGTGATCCGTACCAAGGTTGCAGACCAGAATGTTTAGCCGATTCAGATTGTCCTCTGACATCAGCTTGTAACAAAAATAAATGTACGGATCCATGTCCCGGAGTGTGTGGACAGAATGCAGACTGTTATGTTACAAATCACAAGCCCTTATGCAATTGTAGGACTGGATACACTGGTAATCCACTTTCTATGTGTATTCCTGTACCCGGTAAGTGTAACCGCTTTTAATTTATTTTATTTTTTATTAATTTAAACAATAAACTAAAGTAACGATTTGGTTTTCAGAGAGGGATATATCAATAACTGATGTTTGCAATCCATCTCCATGCGGAGCAAACGCAATGTGTAAGAATATAAATAATCAGCCGGTTTGTTCTTGTTTGCCAAATTACATCGGGTCTCCACCAAACTGCAAACCAGAATGTGTGGTGAATTCTGAATGCAAACCAAACAAAGCGTGCATCAATCATAAATGTACTAATCCATGCCCGACTCCGTGCGGTCAAAACACCGAATGTAAAGTTATAAATCATAGTCCAGTATGCTCTTGTCAAAGAGGTTATTCCGGAGATCCTTTTACTATATGTAGTTTAGTTTTACGTGAGTATTATTTTGATTAAAGACTAGCATTTTTTTTTCGGGTTCCAACTATTTTTTTAATATAAGGTTTTATTTCAGAAACTGCTCCCAGTGTCTCCGCACCCTTAGATCCATGCTTGCCGTCTCCTTGCGGTC